TCCAAACTCGCATCACTGTGGAACTGTTCCGCTGCATACGAGCTGCTATTGCGCGATAGGAAAATCCTCCTTCTCGAAGGCCGATTATCCTCCCTCGTTCAAACTCCGTAAGTTGCTTGAATTTCTTATTCTTCCGTCGTGGAGGCATACTCAGGTCTCACTAAACGTTTGCCACTAACAAATAATCATAGACTATTTTCAACGTCCCGCTACAGCACTTTATTTATACGCTTTCAGCATCAATTCAGAGGGCGCTGCGCGCGCCACGCACGCGCGATGGCTCTGAAACTTTATTAATTTGCATAATATCCTATATCCATTATTAAAATAATATTTCATTTGATTCTGATGATTCCTTCATGGTGTTGCATTTTCTACAAACAGCAGTTTATAAGCAATTGATTTCCATTAACAACAATATTACATCAATTGATTGAATGATAATAGAATTCAACCTTTGGCTCGGGCATCTCGATATTCATGAAATAGATGTATTGAAGTTTGATTACACAAACCTAAAATATTATATGAACATAAATCTTACATTTCTTTTAAAACTAGAAAATAAATATTTTTTACTGCCTTTGTATCTTACTGCCGTTTTAACAGAAACTGAAATATGGAAGAAATTGGGTCAAATCTCGTCGTAACTCTAATGTATCATTGGGTTAGTTCACAGCTAACCATGGCTGAAAGCCCTTATATAGCAAGACGGAAAACATGAAAAACCGGTACGAAATACGTTTTATTATAGCATTTTTTTCGAGAAAAATAAAATATCTGTAACTATTAAGATTTCTTTAAGATTTTAACATATATATAAATCTGCTTCTTTTCCAAGATATAATAGATATTGTAGAATAGTTTAAAAAAAGAATAAGTAAACTCCTCCCGAAAACTAACTATAACTGAAATGGTTTTACTACCAGTCTTTTCTCTTTTCCGTCTCGCTTTCACCCCTGCAGCTAACGCTGACTGCTAAGTCTCAGCGTACTGCGTCATCTGCGCAAGTGCGGAAGAAACTAGTAATGTAGAATTTAAAAGATTTTTGTCCCTAGCATGTACGATGATACTTAAAAAAGAACCCAATACCCCTTGACGTCATCAAGTCGCTTTTCTAAAAGTTTCTTCCTAGCACAACGAGTCCCTGCGCCCTCTAGCAGCACTTTTACGAAACGGTAAGTTAATACAAAATATCGCCATTCTACGGTTTATAATTTAGTGTTTCTGAAATATTTTTGATTTTTTCTGAACTATTAAATTTTTTGTATAAATGAATAATAATTCTTTCTGATTTATCGTCTTAAATGTGAGTTCTTACTCTCTCTCTCAATAAAAGTTATTGAACTGAGATTGTATGGATTTATCCTAGTGTTATGAAAAATTTTCACAGTGTATTTGGGGGAGGGGCAGACTAAAAACGCTGTCAACCTTCATCTATCTAAAGATACACCGAGATAGAATCGAATTAACACATCTAATATATTAGTGATTTGGAATTTTATTATTGTGCTGGTAGTTACACTACATCACTCCCCCACCAGAATTTTATCTGGGATATCTCTAGTCTGTTCATTGCTGTCTTTGTGAAAGACCGGGAGAGCAATATTAAGATCACAGGACTTCTAGCTCTCGTCGTGAGATCTGTATAAAGTTCACGATTGTGAGCGTGGTCTCTCCTGTGCTGCAATTAGCAGTCGAGTGTGTACATGCTCTAGTGGTGCGTGAACGAGACTGAGTAGCAACAGTGCGAGGAGGACAATGTCGCAGTCACAAATAGCAAATCAACTGTTCAATGTGTACCATCCATCAATGTAGGCGTGTCCAAGTCAAAGTGGGCGTTACTGTTGAGAAAGGCGTGTTAAGATTACGTCCGAAGGTACCAATGTGGGTGCTAAAATACCGATGTCGTCAACCTTCATTTGCTAAAAGGTCACTGGTAATGAAAACATACGTCACTGATTTATTCTATGCTTGGTAAGATGACGAAATAATTACTTTAAGTTTTTACTTATTGAAAGTTTGACCACAATTATTGTTATTAAGTATACTTACTCAAAAAACCAAAATTGCTTTGAATAGTTCGTATAATGCGAACCTTAAAAGCTTTTGTTTTTTAAACGAACATCGAAAATGAAAGTTCAGAAAGCAAATGAACCTTATAATAAAACTCATAATGAACCGCTAAAAAATTTAAAGCCTCATTTTCAGCAAGAAATGGGTAATTTTTTTAATTATTTATTTTTACAGATAATTCTATTGAAACTACCAAAATCATTTATCTTACATTTAAAAAAAATGAAGAGGTTTCAAGAAACGGAAATCGCAAGTATCTCAAAGAGAGGCACATTGGAATCTTTCCAATCAGATTTTCTTCTATAATTGTTTTGATTTTGAATTATTTCTATTTCACATCACTGATCTTTCTGGTAGAAGTTTTCCTTAATGTTCAGAAGGAACCTTTATATTCCTTTCAATATTCTTTAGATTAATGTAAGTTTTCTAAAAACATTGAAAGTCCTCTTGATTGCTTTTTTGTATGGTTACTTTCAATACAAAGCTTTTTGAATCACGTAATTGTTTGAAAATGTCACGTAATTATTTTTTTGAAGACTCCAACATATGAGCACTTAATATAACTTTTTCCGCACAATAAAAATCCAAAACTAATTTCTGTTTTTTTTATTGCACCAAAATAAGCAAAAAGCAAAAAATTTATGAAATTAACATAATATCGTATAAGAAGCATAAAATAAAAAATACAACTATAGATATCATTAAAAAAAACTAAGTTTCCATTTTTCTTATAACCTAGATGAAATACGTCCTCTCTACGTAATTAATAGATAGAGATGACTGTCACACATCCTATGCTTAAAATTTGTAATGTGCAGCAGCAGCAAGAACAAATTTGTAAGCAGAAACCATGAGGAAAATCTTTTTTTATCAAGTTTGCAATACGCAGTATACAAAATTAAATTCAGATCATTATATCAACAGCAGATGGTATGCAAAAAGATCATTAAAAATCTTCGTAAATTGAGCTATGGTCTCCTCTCTATAACTACAAAATTTTGAAATTTTTATCTTCTCAAGTACATGGAGAGAAAAAGAAATATCAAAAAGCGCAACGCATGAACTTAAAACTAATTTACTAATACTATCTCAAATGTTTTCGAGATCTTTTTACACTTACACTTGTCAATTACTTTTTTTATTTAAATGAACTGCACCGCATGTAATAAAATTAATTTTCTGTATCAACTTCTTACATAATTTGCAGAAATGGTATTTTTATTAGAGACGTGGAATTTTACTATATACAATCTGGCGAAAAGAATTCAAACACCCAAGAGTAAGGACTATAAGAGTCCAGAGGCATTTAATACTAATAATATAGGTCCCTTTTTTGCATTGATGACAACCTGCACATGTCAGGGGAGACTTTCGCCAGTTTTTCATTGGTGACCAAAGAAATTGTCTTCCAGTCGTCTATCACAAGGTATCTGAGTGCTAACAGTGAAGATGGTCAATTTGGCTGGCTACGAATCTGCGTCTTCTAATCCACCCAAATGGTGTTCTATCGCTACTCTGAGAATGCCAGTGCAGGAAGACCAGTCCAGCCAGAAGGTCAATCCAATCCGGTGAACACCAATTTCTTTAAAACATGACCGCCCATATCTCGATATGTGGAGCAGCTATTCTGCTGAAAAAAGAAATGATCCTTTCACAAAATATTTCTAATGAGTTGGGAGAGCAGCTTTTGTCCAGAATATCCACATATATTCCAGAGTTCGTGTTTCCTCCATCGCCAGCAAGGGACTTTGGCTGAATCATTTAAAACATCCCTCCAGCATCCAGAAGTACCAGGCCAAATTCACTATTTTGGTGAATGTTAAAAAAAAATTCCAAATACAGTATATAGCTTCCAAGTTATTATAAGACATAGTTTATAAGAAAACCTGAAGATTTCCCAGAAAGTTATAGAAGATGATTTTAATACAAATTCTTTTTGGATTCGTAAAAAAGGCTACTCATAAGAACAGTAGAGAGCAGAACTAATCGATGAATCGTGAAATATTAATTATTTTTAATTATCTTGATTATTATACTTAATTATATTATTATTCACTGTATGTCAATATTATCGTGATAACCATTGATAAAAATGACATTTTTATACGATAATTTCATGATATCATCGTGAATGTAATTATTTCACCCTAATCTTCAAACAAGATATTTCATATACGACATAATTATCGTGCACGATAATTATATCAAATACGATATCTTTATGGTTTGCATTTTATGCAAAAAAAAAATTAGCCAAGCAACTTAAAATTAGAGTGAATAAAATAGAGAATTGAAGAAACAGTAAGTGTAAACTTTTATTTCATTGCACATTTTTTTTAATATGGATAACAATGGTCAGTTTACGAAGTTATCGTCGTAATCTTCGATAGAAATCTTCAATAAGTTCCATGTGAAATGAAATAATATTTACACTACATCAGATGGTGATAATCTTTATGCTAAAATGAAGGAAAAAAAGACATTTAGGGTTGAATAGAATATATATTAGTATATTAAAAACACTTTCATTACTTACTAATTATAAAAGTATATTATTTTTTAGATGAAACTAGAAGCTTTGCAACTCAATCCTTCGAGTTTACTCCGCTATTATTTTTGCTTTATGATTGTAAATAGATTGTTACATCGAAAATAAAATGTATTAAATGATAAGATTCTATAATGTTTCATTTATTTTAACACAAATTTGAGTTCACTCAAATTGAGCTGTTGTTTTAGAAACAAATAGTAAGTTAATTTAATGCTTATTTAAATTTTCATTATAATTTTTGAAATTATTGTGGTATTTTTATGCTTATCGAATTATAGTATTAAAAAAATCACTCAAATTTATTAACCTAGCTGATATTTTTAAATTCATTCAAACTCTAACCCTTAAAAGCCTCGATATTATACCGTCTTCTCGATGAACTTATTGCGCTCTCAAAAATAATGCGGGACATTTAAATCTCATTCTATTTTTATGAAACGTAAACCTAACTATTTTCCTCTGTTAACATCAAAATTTCAACAGCAAACTTTTTTTTTCTTTCTTATTTAATTTTTGGTAACTTAAAGAACTCTTTGGATAGTTTTCAATTTGAAGATTATTTATTAAAAGGACGAAAAGTTGATTCTAAACATTGTCTTAAATTTTAAATACTTATTTTACTTGCATTTATTGACTGCATACAGTCGACTTAACTATTTAGCTGAATACAGTTAAATAGTTACTCAACTCAACACATTACTCAACTTAACTATTTAACTGAATACAGTATTATATAAGATTTATTATAAAAGTAAACTTATTTACCATTTAATAATTCCAAAAAGGTAACAAAATTACTTCATCATAGTGCATAATAACGTAAATGTATTTTAAATTGTTATTGAACTGTTATCATATTGCTTTAAGGCGTATAGTTATCATACTGTAAAATATTGCATAATATTGTTATATCATGTTATTGATTAAAATACACATTCAAAACAACATTTCTAGCTTTAAGCCTTTAATTTTGAATCTATGTAAGGGCGGATTATAACAATTAAGGATCATAGGCAATTAATAGCTGTAAATACCGTTAAATAAAGGATAAATAAATAATTTGCAGGTAAGTATCGTTATAATTTTCATTATAATGCGGTTGCAGCCTCTTATATCTGGATCTTTTTTTTTATTTTGACGATTATATCATGCGATTTTTTTTTTGTCAAATAAGAAGATGAGAAATATCTTATCTCTTTGTCGTACTATGTTCTTATTTTCAAAGATTCTTCTATTTTTTCTATTTTCTCAGTGTAAGTTTATAAAAATATAAACTACGGCAAAAATTTATAAATTTTAACATTAGTGATCCTACTCCAATCCAGTGAAAAATTGTCGTTCTTTGGATTTTCCCTTACTTTGGACTTGTTATCTTTTCCAATAATTTACTCATAAATAATGCAAAAGAAAAGAATTTAAAGAAACAAACAATGAAGAAATGTAAAGAAAATAGTAAAAAATAAATTAAATACATAATTTATCGATAAATATCATGCCGCATATTTCAAGTCTCATTTTGTAACAGCTCATTTTTAAAATTCTATTATTCTTTGCACAATGTTAACAATGTTAAAATTTCACAAAATCTGTCAGTTCCTTCAAACTCTTAAAAAAACTACATCTCAAACGCGACTTTGATCGAAGAAAATAAACTCTTTTTTAATGCGTTTAAATTTGGTTTTAAATTTTAGTCGATGACAAAAAAAATGAAGCAATTTTTTAAACAAATTATATGAACTGGTTATTAAAATGAGTCAGTTTAACAAATTTAATGACGATTTATTCTCTGTGACTTACCGACACATGTCTGGTTGCATTCTTCAAGAGTTTTGAAGTTGTTTCCGTTCTTTCCACATCCGCCATAGACAAACTTTTTGCATGCACCAGTCTTCTTGTCATAAGCGTATCTGTGCATGAAAGCCAAGCAAAGGCCACGTTCAATTGGTTCGTCACAAACAGCGGATTTAGCTTCATGTATTCTTATAGCTAATAACGAAAACAAATCATTTGTTTCAATGTAAAGAAGAAACTCATATATAGCTCAGCAATACTCTAAATTGAAATTCTGTAAAATTATTCAAGCTTCAATTAAACTTTTTTGCTCGAAGTGTAAAAAAAATAACTTGTACACATGAAACATCCCATGTCTAAGCTTGTTGCATTAAGGTAGATTCGTATCAGTCTCAAAACAACCTCAAGTGCGAATAAAACAACTTCGTACACCTTGATTTTAAACATTGGGAGGTTGTTTTTTAAGGGTTTTCTTTTTAACTAAACTTCAAATGAACCTCAAATCTACCTTATCCCTTCAAAACAACCTTAGATAAACCTCAAAAACACCATAAATTTTTGTAAGGGTAGATACTGATTTTTAATAAAACTGCAATTAATATATAAATTTACGGTTTATCTAATTAACTAAGATTACAAAAATACATCTTGCTTATCTATTGGCATTCATTCTACACCTTAAAATAAGAACAAAATTCAAGTTTTATTTCTGTAAGTTTAAATTGTTATGGTTTTACTTAAATTTACTTAGAACTTTAGGTATATTTTTTGAAATCTCAATTCAATTAGTGTATTAGTGTATCGACATATTGGTTAATAAAAAAACTATATTTATAAATTACAGAAATGTTAGAAAACTTTGCTTATTTGATATAAAAGCTATATTCAACCTATATATCTAAGCTATATTCAGCTATATTGCGTTTTCTCTGTTACCGGTACCATCTGTTGACAATATTTGTAACAATTGTGGAATTTTGGTGAGAATGTGTAAGTTGGCTTGATAAAAACGCAATAAACAGAACTTAAGCATCCTTTTCTATCTTTTCCATTTTCCTTTTTGGCTTTTAAGATCAAATAAGAAGAATCGATAAAGAATTAATTTAAAGTTTAAATTAAATTTGAGATTAAGATGAGTGTATATGGGGTGGAAATTGAGGTTTATCGATGAGGTTACTTTTCATGTAAGGCATAACCTCATTTTCTACCTCAGGTGTATTTTTTTAAACCTGTCAACCTCAATGCAACCTCAAAAGCACCGTATTTTATTGTAAAGGTAATATGTATATCATTATCTTAATGCATATCATTATGTTAATTGAGACGTCATAAATATTTTATGTAATATTAATACATATTTTAACTGACGGTGCTTCTACAATGAATCCATAATAAGAAATAAATACAAATGTGGTTAAAAAATATGATTGATAAGTAAATTTTATGCATACAACTGCATTTCTTCAAGCACTCTTCTTCGGTAGCAAATCTGTTTCCATTGCCCCCGCATCCACCGTAGATGAATTCTTTGCATTGTCCAGTTTTGGCATCGTAATGAAACATGGGGAAATATCCACGGCACATTCCAGTATCAGACTCCATCAGGCAGGAATTAACTTCTGCAGTAAAAAATAATTATTTAAAATATAAACTGCGGAGAAAACTATTTGCAAATTTCTCTAAAAAATAAGGTCTAATGGGTCTAAAGAAAGTAAAAAAATAAAATTTTAAAAAAATTTACTTGCTTTAAACTTTAAGCAAAGATATAAGTTTGTACTATATATATCATCATGTCGTGAAGAATTATCTGGGCTTTCGAAGGGATAAAGAACTTCTCTTAGAACTTCTATATTTCTAACTATTTTAAAAGTTATTAAACTTTTTTTTTTAAATCGCAATTTGGCGAAATTTTTTCACCTCGTAAAAAATTATCAAAATCACTGCCTTAGTTTCAGTTTTTTCATATTTTTATGAACCCTGATAATGCAGCATTAAAGTAAGTTTTTAAACATTAAAAAATTAGATCGCAATCATTTCATTTTCATAAAACTATCCTCCCATTTTAGAGGTCATTATAATTCAATTCTGTAAAAAGAGTCTAAAACGTTATAGCAAGGGTGGTTATTACAGGACATCCTGTTTAAAAATATATATATAATAGTAAATCTAATTACCAGCAGCTCGATTTGGGCAGTTTTCAGGAAGGACACATTTTCCATCATCGGTTCGGACGTATCCCTTCTTGCATTGACATCCAATGACGCACATCAAGTTGCATATTTTGGGTGGATTGTCATAATTTTTACAAGTAAGAGGACAAGCTGTTCCACAAGTTTGGTATTCTTGGTTTTCGCCACAAACAGCTGAAAACAATGCTTAAATTTATATTGAAGTTTCATAATGAGCTAAATGTATCGATGAGCTCATAATTAATTTTATCAAAAATATTCAAATAGTTTAAAAGTTATAGATTCTTTTGAAGTATCTATGCAAGAACTTTTTAATAACTCTCAAACATAAATAGTTATTTTAAAAATATCTTATTCTATACTTAATGAGAAAAATAAGCACTTCTGACAACAAAAAATTTTTAAAAGACTAATTGTACGGATGTTGTAATTTAATCTTATCTTAATTTGATCTTATTTAATTAATTTATTCTTTAATTTAATCTTATAACATTAAATACAAAATTATTTTATGTTATAAGATTTACAATTACGTCACTGATACGAATTTTAAAATGTTTGTTTTTTTAATGGAATTATTTTTCAGGTTTAAAATACATAATTAGAACTACGTTGTAATCCGAGCATCATACATTGTAAAAAAATGTGGATCGAATTTTGGTATAAAGTACATAGTAATATTATAAACATTTTGTAACATAATTTTTGTAATATTATAAACATTTTGTAACATAATTTTTGTAATATTATAAACATTTGGTATAAAGTAACATTTTGGGATTATCATCCATAAAATCTATTTTTTCCGTAAAATATTATACAGCAATTTATTTAGTAATATTTATTTAATTATAATGATTAAGTGTTTTTATTGTAATTATTACTGTAAAAATTACGGTATACCAGATATTTTATTCCGTAATATCTTACGGTAAAAATAGATTTCACGTTAAAAAGTAATATCACCCCATACTTTTTACCATAGTATGATCCAGAATTTTTTACAGTGCATTACCATCAAAGGCTTGATTGCGCATAATGCTTAATTTTGAAAGAAAATATTCCGAAGAAACATATTTTAAATTAGCTAACATCAATCGACCAAAATAGATTGGACTTTTTCCCACGTTTTCTAATGAAGAATTAAACAGACAGCTTTGTTGAAAGCTATTTGTTTTAAAAAATTTATCGGGGAAATGCTTTAATAAAAAGTCACAAATCGTATCTTAAATTCACAGTTTCTCTTCCTTCTTTTCCTTCCTTTTAATTTTCGCATTATTTTTTTTTAATTAATGTGAATTTATTTAGAATATTTCAGTTAAATTAAGAAAATTATGAAGACTTTATCTTGTCCATTTTTTGTAGTTAGGTGCAGTTATAAAATATATAACATTTAACTATGAAGCATTGTTTCTAATTAATAAATCTTGTCAAAAAAGAGAATAAGGATGCCATAGTGTACCTAAACATTTCGGCTCTTTAAAAACAGCCGCTGTCGTTTTAAAATAAGCCGGGCTAATTGGTAAACTTATTCAGTACTTTCTAATTAGCCTCTCAACTTTTAGGTTTGTTTAAGCTAGTCCACATATTTTCAGTCTAATTTGTAAATATACTTTTTATTGCTTAATTAGTCAGACTTCATTGAGGCAGTTTGCAATAAAACCAGAATTATTAAAGCTTGTTACAAATAGCTTTATTAAAGGAATATTGCATAAATCCTAATCAAAATTCATTCTAATAGAGTAATTTTCATCTCATTTCCTAATTAACCTAAATGCAAATTGTAATAAGCCTAAATCGTATAAGAAAGGTTAAAAAATAGTACTGAAGAAATAGACTCTCACTAGATTGGTTGCATTGTAAAATGGAAGTAATATTTGTAAAGAATCGAATTTTTCAATAAGTTAACACAGCAACCATGCGATAAACAAAAAATTGTCCACGTGACTCGTGAGTAAATGACTTCAATAAAAGAGGAACTGAGCACATACCATTGCGACTGCTGCATTCACTTGGTCTTACACATTGTCCATCCTTGGTTTTGACGTATCCTTCATCACAGTGACATCCTGGATTGCACATCAAAACACAAGCTTTGGGAGGATTCAAATGATTCTCGCATGTGATGGGGCATGCTGTTCCACAGCTATTATAATGAGAGTTAGCTGGACAATCTGGAGAAAAAAAAAAGCATTGAGCATGCAATTTTACGGTAAAAAAATGGATACTCTAACATCATGAAATTTTTTTCGTTTCCCTTGTGGTATACCCTCAAAATGACGGTATATGTGGTCAAAATGAATGTGGTAAAAAAAATGTGGTCAAAATAACGAATTCTTCGAAAACGAATTTCGTCAAAAGTTAAGAAATATTTCGTCATTTTACTTATTTCGAAAAATAAATAACATTGCGTCTCATTGTGTCTAACACGTGGCATTGTGGATCACTTTTTCTTGGGCACCATATGAATAGATCAACAAAGTAGGGTCAGAGGAAATACATCCATTCCCGAAACGGGACTAGAACTCCTTGACCACCATACAGCCGGTCGGCTCGTTTCGTTATTCTAGTTCCAATCATTTAGTCTTCATTTTCGCTCATAGTTTCTGATAATGCATTACAATGAGGTTACGAGTTGAGGATACATTTTCTTCATGTATATGACATTTTGCATTTCGTCTCGTAATTTCGTGACTAAATGATTCCCTAATTTAACGAAATAGAGCTCAAGAATTTCTGAATCGTCAAAAAGAAGAATTATATTTCTGAAAGGTGTAACCAAATGGCTATTAGCTGCAATGGCCTAACCTAACTGAGTATTACACTCACCTACACACCAGTCACACTAACCTAACAAAGTATTGAACACAGACTGAAACAAATTACCTGTATATTAATATTTAGTTTAAAGAAACTAAGACTTTGTAGAAATTTAAAGATTGGGGGAAGATCGAACAATAAGAACACAAACCTATTCTATTGTAAGAGAAAACGGGAAGGAGTTGAAAAAAAATAATTGGAAACATCTTTAAGTATCACCACAGTTGATGATCATTTGATTTCATGTCATAATCTAAAGGTTCTCAACCTGATTCACAAGATTTAAATCAAAAAAGACGCTTGAATTTAATTTTTTTTAATTGTATGCAAATCAAAGTATATTAATCCATTTAAAAAATTTTAAAGTTGAAAATAGTATAATTACTTTATTGTTTTATCGCAGTAGATGGATATATATATATAAATTTTATCACTATCGATGAAATTTATGAAAGTTGTAGAATCAGCATTGAAAGTTTCTCCTTTCCCAAAGTATAAAAGCTGATTAAAAAAAAAAGTATGTCGGTACGCAATAAAATATGGGCATATTGTTGCATTCTTAAATTTAGGACGTTGAGCTTATTAACTCTAGATAATAATTCTTATAATCTAAAATTATCAATCGTAGAAGCAACACAAATTAAAAATACTTGTAACTAATAATAAGTGACAAAGTTATAAAAAAGAATTAGTTCTCTATAAAAATGCTCCATATAATGAAGTTCACTTTAAATTTTCAAATTCAAAGATCTTTGGATATTATAGGACAATTCTCTAAGTAACCAAAAGTCAGTATGGATCAGGTGATTGTATTTTCCCTGGCTCAAATTCTGGCGAGGGTCAGTCAACTCGCATGCTGCACCCGATTCTCCCTGACCAATTTGTGGTTACAAATCATCACCAATTGTAATAAAATTAGCTAGATTTTTATTCAATTCTACATTTTGCACAAATTTGGGCCAAAAAATCCACTATGGCAAATTTGTCTCAATTCTCGATCCACAATCTAACTTGTTTTTTTGGCTGGGTTCAAATTTACAAGAATATGAATTGAAGATCGGTGTAACCCTAAATCCAATATGGATCAAGTGTTCATGTATGAATCAGGGCTGGATGTAAAATAAAGAATAGAAAAAACAAGAAATAATTGTACGTTGTTGTGGATAACCCAGTTTTTATTGATTTAGTTGGTAACCCATTGAATTTTAAGTATACGACTTCTTTTAAATTTGATTTCTCAGGACCTATACAACCAATTTCGCTAAAAATTTGTATTTTGCCATATAAAATTACATTCCTTAAAATGATGTAAAAAATTGCATGACATACAATCCAAAAGTTTATCGACTATCATTAAATAATATAATACAAAATAATAAATATTTACTAAAAATTATTTTTTGTATGGAATTATTATTTTGCAAACGAATTTCAAATTGTGTGCAAAATTTTTTTAGTTGTGTCACTATTGCAGCCCATGAGCGATATATCTATTGCTACCGTAAAAAATTGCAACCTATTGTTAATCTGTAGTTATGTACGAAAAATTCTGGAACCTCAAGTTACAAAAAAGATTTAAAGAAAAATCGCGAATTAAATATGTAATCATTCATTATCATTATATTTTTAATTTTAAAAAATGCAGGCGTTTTTAAGTTCTGAAAAATTATATGATCGCATGTGCTCATTTATATTTTTTGTGAAGTATAAAAAATTCAATATATCCGAATTAACAATAAAGCGAAACGAGAAGCGTTACAGCGAGAATCTTTTACAACCTAAGATAATAAATGTAAAGGTAAAAATAACTTAAATGTTGTAATTCTTACCTCGAGCTGCAAAAGCTCCAGCAACAACGCACAAAATCAAAACTAGCTGCATATTTCTTGTATGAATCTCCTCACTAAGAAAAAGAATTAACGGACGATAATTCTTTTATATCATTTTCAAAAATGAGAGCTGTGAAATTTCCCACCGATCGTCGTTATCAGTTATTGTAACGCAACAAATCAAGGATTTTTGGGAAAATCCATGTGTATAATGCATAACATTTCTGTGATAAAGCAATTTTTGATTTTAACGTGTTTTAAGATTTAAAAAAAAAAGAAAGAAATGGGGAAATGTTTTAATAATATCTTGATGTGAAAAGTAAATACTTATTCATTTTAAATTATATTTTATTTAATCAAATAAAGTTTTTTTCCATAATGTGAAAGTATTGGCGAATTCTCAGCTGTTAAAAATTTTGCTCAGCTGTTAAACTGCACTACCTTACAAGTTATGAATCTTGGACTTTTAAGTACATTCTATACTCTCGTTACTATACGCTCGTACGTATTATACACCGTTAAATACGTACCATAATATAGGGCTGTTAAACTGCCCTATATTATGGTTTTTCTTAAACTTACTGCAGTATGTAAATTATAAATACACAAATGAATTGCAGAAATTTCAGTCAGAGTCTACAAAAAATAACTTTATTTTTTAGAAGCATTTTAGAAACAACTTTTACTAAACATTATCCCCCCCCCCAAAAAAAAATATTTTTACATGCAAAAAAAAAACAGTAATTATGCTCATTTCGTTACAAAGCTATTGTAAAGGAAAGATAAAAACATTGAGAAGAGCACTCTGTTATAGTTATATGCAAATTTCTTCTACGTCCCTAACTTCCGTAAAAAAAGTTTGAAAGCTAGAATTAAACATTCGGCTATTCCGTCAGCAAAAACGGAGCTCAGAATTAAAATGAAATAGAAGCTTAGAATACCGAGCTTAGTAAAAAAGCGGTGAGACAAATTTTGCTTTTTCTTAGTCAAAAGAAATCCTGTCGAACTATTTCTTAATTAATGGGTATATCTGTCGGTGCTGTGAAAAATGTATTAAGAAAACAGTTTAATTTCATAAAAGATTTTTTAAAAAAAACACTGTCCGATAGTCAGTACTAGGAGGTCAACAGAAAAGAAGTGTATTTTACTTAGCTGCTGTAAGAAACAAGTCCATAAGGCAAATTTCTCGAACAATATATATTAATGTATATCATACAACAGTTGCCAAAGCTCTGAGGCAAAATGAAAGCGCTAAATATGTGAAGCTAAAGGCGAAACCATTGTTAACTCAAAAACAGCTATCAACTGAACTATTTTTTAGAAAAATAGTGATGTCTTGGGCTTGCAAAGGAAAAATCGTTGTTTTCTCTGACGAAAAAAATTTTAATTTGTATGATTCTGGCAATAAAAGCCATTGTGAAGACTTGCGCATCATGCCAAAGGAGTTATTTAGTGGACAAGCAGGTGGAGAGATGATATGGGTATGTATTGATTTTAGTGGAAAGTCTGACTCAGCCATAATTAATCAACATATGACAGCAATAACTTATCAATCTATGTTATATGATCATTTAACACCATTAATGTCTTTATTAGGAGAACATAATTGGATATTTTTGAGAGATTCATGCCTCTCTGCAACATTAACAAAGAAATGACTTGAGGCGGAAAAAGTTGATGCCATAGACTGGTCATAACGAAGCGCAGACCTTAATCTAATTAAAAGCACCTGGCGTCTAATAGCAAATATATTACATGTACCAATAATAAACAATATTCTTCAGTTCATGAATTCCAAGTAGCAATCTGAGACTGTTAAGGCAAAATCGATACAGGATACATTCAAACTTTAATTAACAGTATGCCAAATAGAATATTTTCACTTATTAAAGCTAATGGAGGTTCCAGTAAATATTGACTGTAATTAGAATGTTTTTAACATTAAATGTAAAAGTGTACTTATAATTTCTCTACAAGTATTATATATAATTAGATAATATTATAGATAATTAGATAATTAGATTCCAAAATAATATAGATAATTAGAAAATATATATTAGATATTAGATAATTAGAAAATAATATGTCTAATTATCTAATATTAGATAATTAGATATATTATTTTCATTTATGTTTAATTATGAACTATTGTTTGGATTGCCCATATTTACGAAAAAATTTTACTTAAATGAACATTCAAAATGTAGAGGAAAACTATTTATTCTACGCATTCCTTTTTTTAATTTTTTCTAAAAAATATTAGCGTATTTATAATTTTTTACAGACTGGATACTATGGTTTAACTTGGTCAATTTAACACCTTATTAAGTTCACAGCAAACGTGTACCATTATTCTGTTATTAGTTTTTTTTTGTATTATTATGGTTCAAAGAACAAACATTTTGTTAAACATTTAACCGACATTTCTGAAAGTGTGTATTAAAGGCTAATTGAAAAATTTGGCTCTTTATAAATATTGTCAATACTGGTCTGACTACTTTGAAAATTTTCTTTATTTCCTAACCTGTCTCTTCTTTAGACAAATTCAGAAATCTGTGAGGAAGTTCTCAATCAAGCCGAATTTATTTAGATCTATTGCTATAAACCTTTTATAAGGCTATTTACAATAAACCTTAACAACTATGGGCTTATTGCTAACTGCCTACACTAAATCATTTTCATTGAAAAATGACAGATATATTTTCAAATTAGTCCAAAGATACTTGGACCCCCCGCAATAAGGCTAAAATATGTCGGGCTGATTAGAAATTACTGTAGATTTTTCCAATTGGCCTAATAAATTGCAAAATTACGATGGCTGTTTACCAAACGCATGATAATTAAATTTGCCTAGGTGTTGTATTGAAATACAATATGAAAAATATTTCATCCTTAACTAATCATTAGTCACCCTTCGCTATTTTACTGTCATTGATAACTCGATATGCAGTCTAAAGCAGTCTTTTTAGGTTGTCATTTGGCTTCTTTTTTTTTTGCCAAATGAGCTAAGACTTTCTTTTACTTCTGAAAAATTTAAAAACTGTCATTTTATTTTGCCTTTATTAATGAGGTTTGATGAATTGATCAATTTGGAAAAAGAAGCATTGCAAAAGTAAATAAAACTAAAATAAGATTTTCAACAAAAGTTTCCTTTTTATTTTTCAAAGCTCTCGTGTGAAACAAATGAAAACAAATGAAAAGTCAAGCATACAATTTGAACAATATGATTATATTTAATATTGTTTAAGTTTAAATTGCTGCGCGAATCCAGTTTATTAAAAATGTTTAACAATCACTGTAATCACCGTAACAAACAATGTAAAAAATTCCGGTATTTCTAAATTACAGTAAAATATAAACGCAAATGTACTTTTTACCGTAAAATCCATTTTTACTGTATAATCCATTTTTACTGTAAAAATTTATGAAATAAAAAAAACTGTTGGACTGTAATTTTTACAGTAATATTTATTGTAAAAATCATTGAATCATGGTATTTAAATTATTATTACTGTAAAATATACAGTAGAAATTGTGAAGTTAGTTGGCACTTTTTAACATAATTTGCTCCGGAGGGTTTTACAAGGAATTTATGTTCCCTAATCTGTTCATTAATTTGCGCATACGAATATTTCGTATTTTTAACCCTCCAAGTGAACTAAAGGGGAAAATTTTGTTGTTTTTTTACTCAGGAAAGTTTGTAGTCGTAAGTTCGGAAAAAACCGAAACTAACAAGCAGAAGGTTAGAACATTGAAAGATATTATACAGCTCTAAATTCATTGAACTTTGAATCCCATTGTCTCACAAATAATACGAAAGTATATTGTAAGTTTTGTAACCATAAGTTTTGACATTCGTTTCTCAAAATTCAGGCGTATGAATAAAGAATTAACAAGGTATATATTTTCATTTATATTTGATCTTTCTCATCAGTTTTATAATCCAAACTATTGATGCTTCATACCCACAAAAAGTTAGCGTAGTAAAAAAAATGAAAATATACTTTTGATATAAAAATTACTTGAATTTATGAACGGCAAAATTTTAAATAAAGTTTAATAACGTTTGCTTAAACTTCATTTTTCAAGTTTTTATTATTAACAGATCACTAGAGCTACATTGATGTGCTCTTATCCTTTTAATTGTCTGGACAGTCACGGGTCAATACACATTTTCCTTCTTTAGTTTTTACATATCCAGTCATACAGATGCATTTCACGATACATTTCGCTGGAGGGCAAGTTACATTATCTGCATCATAATTTTCACAGGTCTTTTCACAAGGAGATCCACATTCGTAAAAGAATGAATTTTCAGGACAATCTAGAAAGAAAATTATTATCTATTTAAAAACTAATTCTTCAAATAATCACATTTAGGAAGTTTTGTTTCTGAAAAACTACTTAACATTGAATGAGAAATTGTCAATTTGACTGCGAGAACAAACAATAGACTCTCCATGACAAATAACTACTACCACAACCTCAAAAATCAGTTAAAATCTTGATTTAATGATTAAAATCTGTGGTTGTCATTTTTCAATTATTTTTCAAAGAAGTGTTTGCTGGTGTGGCATATCATTTTCACTTTAGATTACGCACTGCGCCCATGTCCAAGAGTTCGTGGGTTCGACCCCAGCCAGCCAGTTAGTAAACTGATACTTGTTAAATCTGTCGAGTCTTAAAGTCCACCATGTTCCCATAACAAATCAATACCTGTGGGGGTACTGATAGAGGAGTTTCCTTGTCTTCTGGATTGGTTCAAAATTACAAGGGTACGGAGTTGAACATTAGTAGTCGTAAACTCAAAACTGGATCAGCTGTCCAACGACAGTTATAAAATAAAATAAAGTAGCTCACTGAGTGAGCCACGAGTCATAGGTTGCCGACCCTTGACCTAATAACAAAAATTGATAACTATAAAACTCTAACATGACCTAATTTGCTACACGACTATGAGTGTTAGGCTGTTAGCAAATTACCTGAAAGTAAACAATAAGCGGAAAATTTAAAGAAATATATTTACAGCAGTCCTTGGGAATAACGTAGTTTAATGATTAACTTCGAAATTTTCAAACCATGTAGAAAAGCTCGCATTTGCAAATTCTGTGGAAGGTAAACAAGAAGAAAGATAACCAACCAGTTGACTCAACTCTGTTGAAAGAGACTTGAAGATAATCAATAAAATAAACTACAGGAACCTTGCTGTGGGTGACCTCGCTGTGTGATCAGATGGCAACTACTTGAAATGACCGTGACCAGCAATGAATTGTAGTGCTTTAGAAGAAGAAAAAGTCGATAGGTATGGAAAATCGAGTTTATTTTTAATAAACCTTCTGCACAAGTGTTGTCAACTAAATAAAATATCTAATTGAGGATTAGTTAATGCTTGGTAAACGAATAATTCTTTTTACGTTTTTTTTATATAATTAGGCGTAAAACTTAAAATAGGTAGTCATGCTCAATATATACATTTTTAAGAACTGAATATTTTCACTTGTATAGCTGATAGAGAAAAACTTTTAATGTGTTCGTATAATCAGCAAACACATAGAGATAAATTCCGTGTTTTTTTCCTTCAGCAAAATATCTGGAAATATAGCAAGGGGCACAAATTTTAACCCTGTGTATCCAGCTTGCTAATTGCCTAATCCACCAAGTCATCAAACACATATACATGCGGGCCACTTTTTTTAACAGAGTTTCTATTATTTATTATTTAAAGCCATACTCTGATTTTCAAAATGAGCCCAACATCCCTAATATAAACTTTATTTAAGACTTAATCTCGGACGCTCGTCAAATTTAGTCTCGGACATTAGCCTGGTTTAAACTCAGATTACTGTTTTCTGGGCTTACTCTCGAATATCCAAGTCAAAATTCGAATCGAAAATACAAGTTAATGATTGCTGGTATCTGATTTTTATCTTCACCAAAATCTGCTCTAAACTGTAAAAAATTCCGGTTCAAATTACTGCGTAAGGAACGAACCCTTTAGGCTCGTAATATCCATTCTTACCATAAAAATTGCGCCATAATTTTTGCGTCAATACTTATTTAATTAGAGTAATTCGGTGATTTTACTATGATTATAATTGTAAAAAAATACGCGTAAGTTATTCCGTACACGTACCAGTAACAATAAATTTTGCGGTGAAATGTTTCGTCAGCTTTAGTGCAGGAACTTTTTACCGTAATTTGATCCTGAAATTTTTTACAGTGCACTCAAAAGCTTCACAACGGTTAATTATGATATTAATAATTATTTACAGAACTTTGCTCTCTTTTAATGGTTTAAAATTGTTATTATCTCCACAACTTGCCTGTTCTTTTCTTTTTACAAGCCTGTATACATTCTTCGTGGGTAGCATAACTGTTACCATTTTGTCCACATCCTTTGAAACACTTATTTTCATCAGGAAAAAAGAAATAGGATGCGTCATTTCCAGTGCATTGTCCTTCTGCGGGTTCTGCGATACAATTCTTTTCAACTATAAAACAAATTTTTAAAAAATTTTTTATTAAAATACATTTTATTTTCGAATATTTTAAAAATTATATTAGTCTGTTTTTCCCTAAGACAAAGAAAGCTCGTGTTTTTTTAATAACAGTTACGTGTTTTAACATTTCGGCATAATAACTTGATTTAAGATTAATGCATACTTAGCATTTAAAATATTTTTTATAGTACAATATATAATGTTCCACCACCAGAAAATAGTTTACATTAATATTATTTCTAATCTTCCTACGAGACTACATACGTTTCAATATATTGAAAAATATCGGAGGAATTGAAATCTCATCTCTCCTCTATGGCCATCTAACGTAGATATACCCTTCCTTTTATGTATACATTTCAAAATTTAATGTTTGATACTTCACTCATATTCAATAATTATTTTAACGAAATTAAATTTTTAAAGCTTTTTTCTCAAGTTTCGTAGCAGACAATAAAGAATAGTGATTTTTGTTATTATTATTCTATGTATTGTATATATTGGCGCCATATTTAAGTGATTGAGTACATTGTTAAGTGAAACTTGTCATTCTTATGATTTTAAATTATTTCAAAAGCTTTTTTTGCATTTAACTAACCAAAGTTTCTTTAATGAAATTATCTTTGAATTAACGAATTTTACAATTGTGTTCAAGAATTTTTTAATTCGTTCGAAAAGTTCTCGAGATATTGCGAAATACGCAAAATGCATAATTAGCTAAGGGGTATAAACTTTGGATCACTCTCCTGATCAAGCTATGGGGAACATATATGCCATATTGCGGCTGCCCCCTATATTTTGGAGGTAAGAAATTCAGAGAAAGTATGTTTTTGTGTCTGATTTCATAAATTAAAATAGTGACTAAACTAATTATTATATTTGTGACAACACCCTCGAACCATTGAGATTGAGTCGTTGCACGTAAAGATCGGATAATTAGATCCAAAATTATTCGGGGTGGTCCATTTTTTCCCTTACTGTACTATGTGCCAGCATAATTAAATATTGTACTATATGCCGGCATAATTAAATATTATATTTCAAAATCACCAACTATAAACTTTTCAAATCTATTTTACCGTTACATCAAATTAAATTTTAATTAATGTATTGAGAAATCAGTAAATTTTGTATTTATACAAATACATTTTCTTAGGAGAAAATGTAACTTTCTTTCGTGAGCTGACAACATATTTTACCGTTGAATATCAAGTCCATGTTTGCTTTATTTGAGCAATTATTCACCTTGATAGAAAAATCGTTTAAACATCTCTTTCTTATCATGAGCTACTTGAAGGTCTAAAGTTTATACAAATTTCAAGATAAAGTTTTATCTCAAAGCATTATGTAATTTTTGCAATTCGTGTAATTTCATTTAAGCGACTGAGCCATCATTCGCACGATTCTCTTCAAAAGATGATAAAATGATAAATAAAATAGATTTATTAAAACTGTTCAGAGAGCAAAATTCTGGTAAATATACTGTACTGTATAATGATAACATTTCATATAAGAAAAATAAATAATTCTGATAATAAAACCAAAATATACGGTATTTAAACCATTTATTTTGTAGTTTTTCCGTTTATAAGGTAAGGGTTTGGCAGAAATTCTGGTTTTAAAAATTATAGTTCTTCTAACCCCGCATATAGTAGGAAATACAAAACTGAGAGTAAATTTAATCGAATAAATTATTCTTTACCATGCTGTAATGTGTCTTATAAAATTACCATATTTTGCCACTTTCACCAAATTTATCGTACATTATAAAACTATATTTTATTGCTAATTTAAAAAACATAATTACCAAAGCCCTTCGGAAAAATTTCCTGAGTTTATTAGTGTTCCCATAGATCTAGAAGCACGGTATATCTTAGAATATTCTGGTAGTTCTGACCATACTTTTTTTCTCGGAATACGTTTTTCTTGCGAACAAAAAAGAAGAGAAAAATTTTATTTTTGCCAGACTTAGACAAAAATTGTTGTTCCCCTCCCTTTAAAAAAGTAATGAGTTGAATTTTCAGTGGTAATATACCAAGGAAATAATGCTGGTAAAATTACCGTACAGTATGTTAATGACATTTGTGGGAAATATCACCATAATTCTGGTTAAAGTCAAAATATACGATATTTAAACCATACATTTTATTATTTTTCTGTTCATATAGTAACAGTTTACCAGAAATTAAGGTTTTCTGAATTGGAGTTCTTATTACCACACATTATTGAAAAATGCAAAACTGAAAGGTAAATTTAACCGGAAAAGGGGTTCTTGTGCTATTCTAAGTTATAATGATAAAATTAGTGAATTTTACCACATCTACTAAATTTTATAACACATTATAAAACCATAATTTTGCCAGCATAATTACCAAAGTGCTGCAATAAAAATTACCGAGCTTTTTGGTGTCACAGAACAGAAACATGGCCAATATTGCCAAATTCTGGAAGCTTTGACCATACTTTTTTTCTCAATGTAAAAATTTAAGACAAAAGTGATTCACCTTACGTTTTTAAAGAAATAAAAACAAATCTTATATTTAATAAAGCTTCTGCGTATTAGACTTCTTATTCTATGTAATGCCACACATACTTATAAGCAGTAGTTCTCACTGAATCAATTCTTTTCTAATGTTTGGAAATCTATTTTAATTAAATTTTTACAACTTGCACTATGGTGCACATCTTGCACACACCTATCCCGTCACATCTGTTTTCTCTCTTAATTTTTTTATTATCTTGTTCAAGCTTGCTCCTCTTACCCTACTGGTTTAACCACCTTCTTTTGTTGCAACGAGTTTGTCTCTTTATTTTTCTACTTTCATTTTGTGTTTAGACCCTGACGAAAATTTTTATTTATGAAATCGAAACTAAAGCATGTTTATTTCATTACCTTTATTTATGTTTTTTCCACGTTGTTTTGCTTTATTCAAAACAGAAACCTTCTATTAGCTGCAGTGAGAACATAGAAAAAGTTTAAAAATAATTGCATTTGTCGAATTTTTAAGTTCGTCGCTGAAGTGTATTATTTTTATCTAAAAACAAGAGACTACTTAAATGTGTTTAATGTGTTATTTTTGTCAAAAACAATTTTTTATGAAAAAAAGTATAGAGATTATGTGAAAGTTATTTTTGTAAAATCAAGGTGCTATTGTTAATATACGTATCCTAAATTTGAGATTTCGTTATTTTTTTTATTTCTTGACATGACACAGCGTGGATTTTAAATTTTGAAAATTTATCTGATCACTAATGATTTACAATGGTTTCACGTACAGTATATATCATAATATTTAAACATCACAATAATTACTATCTTTTAATCTACATTTTAAAACAGATATAAGAAATCTTTCCTTATAGATTATGACTCTTATTTTGGAGAAAAAAAATAAAGAAAGAACATTTTTGTCACATTCTTTATAACACATTTCTCTTTATTACACAAAAAATATATATTTTGCTTTCAACAATATTAATTACAATTAGAACACTAAATTGGAATTTATTATAGTTACTGTTTCTATTTTTATATGTATCTTATAAATTAAGATAGTTCATGAATTTGATAGTTTATGAATATATTTTGGTGTTTTCTGAAGCCAAAATAAATTATTTCAATTTTAAAAATGACAAAAGTTTAAAAAAGATTATCTTTTAAGAGTACCATTTGAATGTTTAAAACAAAAAGTTAAAAAGAAAATATCAAAATTTCGAACTTACCTTAAATATTACTTTTTTTAAGCGCAATGAACATTACAACCCTAATGTACAGATTATTTACCTTTTTCTTCCTGATTAGCAAAAATCCCAATAACAGTGCAGAGAAAGATTAATAACCTCATTTTCACTCATCTGACTTAACATTTAGAAAATAAACAGTTTTCACTCAATGTTTCTTATATTTATTCAAAGGAATTTCTGAGAAATTATTTTTCGTCATTGTTCTTTCTTATTTAATCATTAAACTAAGAACAATGGATTGTCGAAGAAAAAACGTTTGATGTTCGTAAATTTTAATAGCTTTTTAAGAAAATCCTTTTTCCTGTCGTTTTTGTTTTTCTTTTAATTATTCAATTATATTTTTAAATCAAATAAAATTTTATTTAATACAATTATATTTAAAATGTATGGATATTTAAGGATAATTTTCTTTCTTTATTTATTTTAATTATTTTTTAAACATGCACTAAATGCGTTTTTTCAATTTCCACGTGCTTGGTACATTTTTTTCAAAGACTACATATTTTTTCATTCCTTGAATTGAATTCAACTTTCGTAGAAAAAACTGTTTCATGATAAAGAAAATAATAAGAAAGCCTAATTCCGCAATCAAAGAGATAAGTGAGCGACAGCAAACAGGCAGCTTAGCTCCCGCTTGTATTTAAAAAAAAAAATTTTATGACGTTATAATTAATGAACGCAAAATTAAAAAAATATTTCTTTACAAAGTCCATTTACTACTTATTTTTAATTTGAATTTTGAGCAATTTTAATCAATATAACTCATTTATTTGTTTTAAAAAAGGGCGCAGCTATTGAATTCCCTATAAAAAAATGCCCATACTTTCCTAAATAAAATATAAATATAATTGTAATTATTATGTATAACGCAACCAGATTACTTATGGAAGCTAATAACGCAAGATGATTGAATGAAGAAATAAATATGTATAATAAATTTTTCACACAAAATCACATTATTTATTAATCCAAGATTTATAATTTTACAAATGGTTTTCAGTATAAATATTTACAGGGTGTTCTATACTGACATATATTTAGAATACACACTCAATGCATATATTTAGAATATTTATTTAAAATTTAGTAGAAACATTAGGGATATCAAATTCCCTATCCATTACACATTAGGGTTCTCAAATCTTATTCAAGCACAAAAAACATTGAAAAATCCTTCAAATAACTTGTGAATAATAACTAAAAGCGAACTGATAAAATTTAAATCAGCTTGATTTTCTGAGGAAACTTGGAGATAACACTCCTCTATTTCTTCCGGCAATCAAACAGGTTTTGATGATTTCAGCTCTGTTGCCCTCAAAAATTATTCTCTTAGTTGTAATTTTGCTACATCAAATATATGTACTTTCACTTGATTTTAGTTTCGAGGATTTTTAAAAAAATATATATAAGGGTAAAATTTAGAGGACACGCTATATAAAATACTAATTTGTGTGAAATTAATATTAACTAGAATTGAATTAATATTAATTAGGTGGTGCCACTGAGCAAAGCTCGTTTTACATTGACAAGCGACCATTTTTACTAATTTAAAATGTCATTTCCTCCTTTTCACAATCAGTCGCAGACACCATTATTACAATTTTCAACCAATTTGACTAAAACTTGCACAGTTTAGTATGCCTTCAGCTAAAGTTTATTTTAAATATTATTTTAAACCTGGATTTGTCTCAAAAATCTACAAAATTCTGTAATTGAATTTTAAACTGTGTCAGAAGAAATAAATTCACACAGCACCTTCTTTATAAACAGGAAACGATTAGAAAAAAAGATAAGATGAAACAGACTATTCCAAAGATTAGTTATTCTTTATTTTTTTCTTCTAAGAGCGTGTGTTCTCTTTATAACACTTATCATGCTCATTTAAAATAAAATGTTTCTTTATCTCTAAAATTCGGAAGGCTATCATCTGTATGAAAAAAAAGGATTACTAAATTATCAACCAATGAATTTCTTCATATAATATAACAATTGTCCTAAGCATTAACATTCAATAAAGAAAGATGGTAGGAAATAAAAATGTACGGTTTGCAACATTCTATGAGGTAATTCGTTCTTCCAACGTTTTTAAATTAGTTACATGCTATGACAACAGCTGGCGCTGCCTATTATTAAAGTAATAATACAAAGTTATCAGCTGTACGTATCATTACAACGAAATCAGTTTCATAGAAGTTACATAATTTTGCCAAAATGCACTTCATTGTTACTTTAATTGACAATTATTTTAATAACGCTGTTTCGGATTTTTCTCAGTTATTTGCGCCATCTGTTAACAAAATGCGTAAACAATTCTGAAACATGGTAACAATAAATTCTGGTTTCATATGCAGAATGCTGAAAACTCATTTCGAGCTCCTCCCGTTCTTCTTAAGTTGCTTTTACAAATCATCAGCTATATTTGGAATAACTGGTAACACAATAAAAAATCATTTAACACAACCCTACGAGAAAATTATAGGACACAACTCTGAACTTTTACACAAAAAATTTTTTTCTTTCTGTTTTTTCTATAATTTTAAAGCATCAGCATTGTTATTATTTTTCCTTTTTTATTATCATTACAATACAATTTGGTACAATTCATGTCGAACGTAAAACAAAAACAATTTTTTTAAAAGTTCTAAAACAATATTATCAATTAAAATTTGTAGATCTATTAGCCCTTTTAAAATTTTTAATTAACATATTTTCATACTTTTTTCTTTATTTTGTATTACTTTAGGCCACAGTAAGTGAGCATTTTTAAATTTAGCATTTTAATAACTTACGCTTATGAAATATAGCATGAAAACTTATGGCATGAAACATTGAAGTTTCTTTAATTTAAAAAATCAATTGTTGTTAAATTGTTTATTATTAATGAAAGAAAATAATTTAACTACTTTTATTGGATATCATATTTTAGTACATATATAATTCTGGTTTTATAATAGATTCTATAGAAACTATTAGACATTTTACAATAATTGAAAAATAGCAATATATATTTCACTTCTAACAAGATCGTCAAGAGAACAATGTATATAAAAGGCACCGGTGTTTCATCTATGTCTAATAGTTAGAGCAGTAAAGAAAACAACTTCTTTTGCAAGTTTCAGTCAATTTATTCATTCAGAACCAATACAGATTGAAGCAGAAAAATGTTTTTAATGCAGGGTGCTCCACAATCAACGCCTTTTTAATATTTGTTCTAGAATCCTTATTATCGGAGGGTGAAAAAATTAAAAAAACGGGGGGAAGGGTTACAAAAAGGCAAGATTAAAACCATCACAAACTGCTCTATTGCTTAATGAACCTATGAAGACAAGAAATATGCCCGTCAGAGACATCTTCAAATTTTATTAGCCAATAATGATGGCTCAGATTCTTTCATATTTTTAATTCCATTTTCTTTAATAGCGATTCATTAGATTCTGTTAACGTTTTCACTTACATGTTAGTGTCCATACTCCGATGAATAAAATTATTTTTTGTTTACTTTAGATAAGGATTCTAAATTAATATATTATGAGTGAAAAGTACGAAACAATCTTTATATTTCGCCAACTTTTGTCCATTTTTTTCTGCACTCCCCGGTGATTGCTTCGTCATTCAGGAGATTAACCCATCATTCTCTGATCACACAAGATTAATCTGCAAAAAATATTGAAAACATGTGTATTCATTATTTTACCTATAAATCATTAAATGCCTTTGGGAGCTAAATGGTTCGCCCTCGAAAAATGCCTGGTATTTTTTTTCCTTTCAAAATATTACATTAAATAATAATTCACGATGTTATGTGATTTAAATATTTATTTTAAATAAGATATCCCTATCAACTTAAAAAAACTGTACCGAAAAAGTTTTAAACTGTATATTTTAAAAAGTTTTCGTGTATCTAAACATCATTATTGGTGGCAGCAACTTTACACCAAATTAGTGCTTCACTAAATGTTCCACTACAGCAAAACCAAGAATAGTGTTTCGTGTAGTAAAGCTCTAGATAGTTCTTTTTCACTATTTGATGAAAATTTGCCAGTTCACTAAATTTATTTAGTAACACTAAACTTAATAATTGCAGTATGTATGATACACATAAGAATCAGTTAAGTTACTTTTACGATGCAATCTAAAGCAAGAACCATAAGATCAGGATGAATATAAACAATATTTATTAAAATAAAATTAGTTTGTTAATCAAACACACTCGCAACACAGACAAAATATTAATATCAATTAAAACAAAATCGAAGTGAATAGAAGTTAAATATTATAAATTTTATTTGTTACAATTGGCACATTTATGTAAAAATAATTAGATAAATACATTACTCATAATATTATACTACAACTAAACACATGCATTCATTTTATAACAGTATATACGAGTTGTTTGCCATATCAATCCGATAAGGCGACGGAAATAACTTAGCAAATAATCGACCACAATTATTTTTTATCAATCAGGTAAGAGGATTGAAACTTACCAGACATTAAATGCGCTATGATGAGTTTGTCGATTAAATCCGAAGAGAAAAACAGTTCATGTGAACAAACTACCATCTTGTTCACTATGTTGAAAACGCACAATTTTTAGCCTTAAACTTTGAATATGGTTTAAAAGCATTTGTTCAAAACAAGCCCTACTATTTCACTTAATAATTTAGTTAAATAGTTTAAAAAAAACAACTATATTTCCCAACTTCACGGAGATTTTGCCTTTTCAAAAGACAAACTTTTTCACCAACAAGCAACGAGCTGCAAATTGGTGAAAGCCTTCTGACCCATTGGTACTAAGAATTATCTGCACCTTTTGAAGTGTGTAACATTTGATTCGGTATCAACGGTGAAATAAAGTAATTCGGTGAAATAAAGTAATCATTCCCACAATGTTTAGAGTCTTTCAGTAGCAAAACGGATAGACATTGCACCATGAATTTTACTGAGTATAAAAAGTTCTCACACTTCTGTGGAGGACTAAAACGTTGAAGTAGTCCACTTTTGTAAATTTTGTTTAATTAAGTTAACAATAAAGTATCATTTAGAATCTATCATTTCATTTTGAGATTAATTAAAAACAATTATTCTTACCAAAATTTATTTTTCAGCCTAAATATTAGATTATGCTTTATTTTTATATTCAAATGCTAAAATAAATTCCCAAGTAATTTATAGTTGTCATGGACTTAACTAATTTAGCACCTAAACTTCTTATTTTTTCAATTGAAAAAGTAATATAAATATCGAGATATAAGTATATATTCATTTCTAGATTTGGTAAAGATAGAAAGTTTAAAATTGATGGAATGTTCCATCATGTTTCCCAGTATTCTATCAATTATTTAATGTAGAACATTTGATAATTGATAGAATTAAATTGACATTTAGTATCCATCATTTAATTTTGAGATGAATTTAAAAAATTACACTTACCGAAATATATTTTTCAGTCAAAATATTATATTTTGTTTTATTTTTGAATACAAATGCTAAGATAGATGTCTGAATAATTTATAGTTGTCATGAACCTAACTAATTTAGCACTTCAGTTTTTTCAATTGAAGAAGTGATATAAATGTAGATAAAATAAATATGATAAAATATCATTTCGAGATTTAACAAACATAGGAAGATTAAAATTCATGGAATATTATTTTTTATTTTATAACTGTCGTTGAACAGCCGCAACAATTTTTGGGTTTACGACTACTAATGCTCAACTCTGTGGCCTTTTAATTTTGAACCCTATCCAGAAGACAAGGGAACTCTTGGATCAACTATTGGGAGATCTTTTTTATGGAACTAACCCGCATTTGCGTAACATGGAGAGGAATACCACGAGAACCTCCCACGGTTAGTCTGACGACAAAGGGTCTCTAACCCATGATCCGTCTACCTCTGAGGATATTTCACGACAGCACTGTGGTCGGCGCAATCCGGATGTGGAATTGGTATCGACCAGTCATCGCCGGGATCGAACCCCGATTCACCTCATTGGAAGGCGAACGCTCTATCCCCTGAGCCATCGCGATTCTATGGAATATTATAGAATGTTCCCCCGTATTCCATCGATTATATAATGCAGAATATTTGATAATTGATAGAATATTAGAATGTTTAATAATGTATTATGCCTTCAAGCAATTCTTTAAGTAATAAAATTTCTGCAAATAAAAAAAGTATTTTCGTCTTAAAAGAATAATTGTGTTAGAAGCTTTCTTTTTTAAAAATTTGCCCTTAGACTTAGAAATAACGCATTTTAGTTTTTCTTCCCTTATTTTATACGCACTCTTTAGTTTTATATTCCCGTGCATTTATCGATAGAATTATTATATTATCAAAATACAGTTACCTCTTTCAGTTTTACACACTGCTTCACAGTCTTCTAAATCTTGAAAATTGTTATCATTTCCTTCGCATCCTGCATAAATAAATTCCTGGCATTGTGAAATTTCCTTATTGTAAAAGAATCTTGAAAAATTCTGTGCACATGATCCAACTTCCTTTTCTTGCTGACAGGCTTGAGGTAGATGCGGAACTGAGAAATATTTATTGAAGTTTAAGTTTTGGACATGAAAAAAGATGAAAATTAAAAATTGCTAATCTGAATTTTTATATGTGGCAGAGAACTGACATGACAAACTACTTTGAAGAAAAGCAAACTAAAACAGCATTTCAAAAAAGTTTTGAAGCATAAATAATCTTAAGTAAATAATATTAAGTAGATAAAATCATGTTTTCGAAATAGTTAAAACTAATTACAATATGGAAGCAAAAAAAAATCGTATAAATCATACATAAAAGTCATACATGTATTAAACAAGCATACCGATTCTCTTATAATCACATGAGTTCCTCACCACTATACCATACCACTTGGCAATATATCTTACTCTGAGTTGCTTCACTCGGCTAACGTGGATTTCCCAATTTTGATTTTCAACTTTACTTTATTTTTAATTTTTTTCCTTGGCAACATAACGTTTTCTTTTTCAAATTTAATTTATTTTCTTCATTCACGTCTAGCGACTTGCAATATGTTAATTTTTTCCACTTTTAATGACTTCAAATCTAATTAGATTTAAAGCTTTCCCTTTTTTAAATATAAATCATATTTGCTTTCGTATTTACAAACAATAGGATTAAAAAAAAATTGTGTGAAGAAATCTACTCAAGGAAATTTTCACTTCTTTTCTTGTTTTTTACTTTTAATTTATTTCATATTTTTATTCATTTATTCATGTCTTTTATTTAATTTTATTTTCATTTACTTTTTTTTACTTTCTTCATTTATTCATTTTTTTATTTGGTTCATTTAATTTATAGCTTTTTATTTGCTTTCTTTCATTTTTATTATAATCTAAATAATATTCCTTAATTTGTTGTTCTATTGTATTATTGTTTATATTTAATTATCATAGCATACTTACTCATTCCAACTCGGCAAATTTCTTTACAGTCTTCTAAGCTTTGAAAGTTATTATCGTTTCCTTCACATCCTCCATAAATAAATTCTTGGCATTGGGCAGTATCCCTGTTGTAAAAGAATCTTGCAAGATTTTGATCACATGGGCCGACTGCTTTATCTTGCTGACAAGCAAAAGGTAGACGAGAAACTACAAAAATGTATCAGTTTAAGAAGAAGTTACAGAGAAAGAAAAAAGAATTAAATTCCATTCTACATTCGATTTTAATACATATATGTTATTCATAATAATGTTTATAAAGTTACATACAAATTTTAGAAATATTTTGCTTTTCAAAAAAAAAATCAACTTATCGCAAAGTAGTTAAAGCGTAGTGGCACTTTGAAAATTAATTCGTGTCCTTAAGAACGTTAGAAAGAATAACACTGTTGTGCAAACATGAAAGTAAGATTTTTAACTAAATAAGTTCACTAGTTTATATTTTGAGCTAGGGCGAAACCACGTGAAAATTGAGTTATCTTCGAGACGAAAGTTTTGAGAAAGATTCTGGCTGCAGCGAATAACAATGGTACATGAAGGTACATATAGTATAATGATCTGTACCAACATTTCTTTGAAGAGAGGAGGCCTCCATACGGGTTACCATTAAGAAAAAATCAGATCCCTTAGTAGTCCAATCGTAAACCCCCACTGCGCAGTTTATTTTCGTTACGTCGAAATACTAAATTGAGCCATGTGGAAGCCTTCTATCTTTAAGGTGTTGTCTATACAGGCTGCGTAGAGAGGCAGATATTATACATCATATTGAAACAAACCACTTCAAATTGAATTCAGAATAGACATACTATCGAATGGCCATATTCCATATTTAATATTCCATAAGAATAACTTACATATTTTCTCATTTTAAACCAAGTAAAATAGAATACGAACCAGATTTAGACCCTGACTAAGGTTAGTTGATTGCGTTATTGAGGGTATCGAAGTACTAAAAGTAAACAACTAGAACACTCTGGGGAGAAAGAAAACAGAATGAAGAAATAAAAAAAGGCTATGGCCCTCAAAAGGCTGTCAAGTCAATAAAGAAGACGAATTTGTGTTTACGTTTAAAGTATGCTGTGTAAAAAACATAGCATACTTTAACAATGAGAGAAATTACATTACACTGTAAAACATTCTGTATCAAATTACGGTAAAAATACCGGTATTCAGGTTGTCGGTACTTCTTACCGTAATTTTTTTTTAACCGGAGCATGTTATTGAGCCAAAAATCTGATATACTATAAGATAGACAATAATAATTACCGTAAAATCACTAAATCACTCTAATTTAACAAATACAGTAAAACTTACGGTATAATATTTTACCAGAAAAANCATTCTGAAAGATGCGTTAAAGGAGGAATGGAGACGTTTACCCCAAGAAATCCTGGATAATCTGGTGCTTAGCATGGAGATACGATGCCAAGCAACAATTACAGTAAAGGGAGGGCATATCCCATACTAGGTAACATCTGCCAGTTGTACTTACGCTTCTTCAGGCAATCCTGTGTAACGCCACTATATATCAAATAAAGCTTATTTTTGTTCCATACCCTACTTTAAGCTTTATATTCATTTCTGCGCTATTATTCTTTTACCATCGTTTAAGTACAAAATAATGTACATCATATTCAAATTTCACGTCAATCGGATGATTTCTTGTAGAATTATGACAAAAAACGCACTTGTTGCTTAAGTTTTGCACACCAGCGTATTTCGTGGTTTTAAGATAGTGAAAAAGAATTACACTGTTGTGCTAACATGAAATGGAAATTTGTAACTAAATAAGCTCACTAATTTATAATATGAGTTAGGACAAAACCTCATGAAAATAGAGCTAACTTCGAGGGAAAAATTTTGAGAAAGATTCTTGCTGCAGTGAATAACAATGGTACGCGAAAATACATATAGTATAATTATCTGTACCAACTCCTCATAGAGGAGAAAAGGCTTCCCCACGGGCTACCATAAAGGAAAAAACAGATCCTTTAGTACAGTGTTCCCGAACCCCCGATCCATGGATCAAATAGTACTGGGTCACCCATTTCATTATCCCAGTTGGTGCACGATCACCTGTCTTTGCTTTCAAAAGAGTTCGAGCTCTACTTCCCAACCACAAAAGACCCACGAACTGTGAAGGAATGGATCTGCGACCCATTTGTCAACAAATCGGGCGAATCTATCATGTCTGCGGAAGAAGAAGATCAACTGCTGGAGATTGAAAATAACGGCATCCTTAAGACTACGTTCAAGACAACAACTCTGTCGGTGTTCTGGATTAAAGTCATGGCAGAATGCCCCGAGATTGCCACAACAGTACTTAAATCCCTATTGCAATTTCCGACAACCTATCTGTGTGAAGCGGGGTTTTCTGCAGTAGCAGCAATCAAAACAAAGTAACGGAATAAACTGGACATAAGCAACACACTTCGGTTGTCATTGTCGCCGATTACCCACAGATGGGACGGTCTCATAGCAAAGAAACTCAGGGTTCTCATTGATTTAACGTTCTAGTAAGCTATAATGTTAAATCACTTTACATTTATTTTTTGGTGTAACTGAGTTTTATTTTGAAAGCATGTTTAAATACAATTAAATTAAAATTAATAAATCAATATTATCTAAAATATAGACAATCAACGTCCCCCACAGAGGGCCGAGGTAAAATTATCAAACGTTGACAGGTCCGTGGTGATAAAAAGGTTGGGGAACACTGCTTTAGTAGTCCAAATGTAGTGACATATTACGAAATTCCCTCACAGCGCTGTCTGTGTTCGTTACGCCGAAATACTAAATTGAGCCGTGTAGAGGCCTTCTTTCCTTAAGGTGTTGTCTGTACAAGCTGCATAGAGAGGCAGATATTATACATCATATTAAAATAAACCACATCAAATTGAATTCTGAATAGACATACTGGCAAATGAACCTCTCCTCCTTAATTTTATATATTTTCTCATTTTAAACCAAGTAGAATATAATACAACCCAGATTTAGGCCCACACTAAAGTTGGTTGACTGCGTCATTGGGGGTATAGAAGCACTAAAAGTGAACAACTAGAACACCCTGGTGAGGAACAAAGCAGAATGAAGAAATAAGAAAAGGCTTTGGCCCTCAAAGAGCTGCCAAGTCAATAAAGAAGACGAATCTGTGTTTACATTTAAAATATGCTGTGTTAAAAAAAAATCTGTACAATGAAAGAAATTACATTACAGTGTAAAAAATACTGTATCAAATTACGGTAACAAATACCGGTATTCAGGTTGCCGGTACTTTTTACCGTATTTTTTTTAACCGGATCATGTTACTGAGCCAAAAATCTGATATACTGTATGTTAGACGATAATAATTACCATAAAATCACCGAATCACTCTAATTTAACAAATATTACTTAAAAAATTATGGTGTACTATTTTACATTAAAAATGTATCTTACGAATTTGATCCGGAATACTTTACTGTGCATCTTTAAAATAATTTGAAAAAAGGAATTGAATTTAATTTGGATTCCTTATTTTGTTCTTTCGTAGATGAGTTATAAATATTTTTTTCCATGAGACATATACCTATATCAGTTTGACAAACTGCTTCACAGTCTTCTAAATCTTGAAAATTGTTACTATTTCCTCTACATCCTGCGTAAATAAATTCCTGGCATTGTGAAATTTCCATGTTGTAAAAGAATCTGGAAAAATTTTGATCACATGTCCCGACTTCTTTATCTTGCTGACAAGCAAAAGGTAGTTGAGGAACTGAAAAAAAAAATACATTGATATTTCGGTTTTAGAGCAAGAGTATTAAAAATATTTAATAATGCTAAAAAGTCACACCTATTAAATACGAACTTTATTACAAAATATTCTGTCTTGTTAAAACAATACTATTTTATTCACATAAACGAGTTAAAGCTTATGCTCTAGGTAAATTTAAAACTGAATCGCGATTTTCAGATAATTAAAATTATATTTATTATATTTTTCTAACGTTAAATAAATATAGTTTCACTATTTAAGTAATAGCCACATTTAGTTTTGTTTAAAATCTGTGATAAAAGAAATTTTATCAGCTGTACCAAGTTGATGTTTACGCTGTGAACTAACTTTTTATGCATAAAAAGCTAATTTGAAGTTGATAATTTCAAAAATAGATTTATCAAGTTTGTAATACAATTAGATATTTTTGAACATCAATATATTTCTTAAGAAGATTCTAGAAGATAAAAATTTACTGAATATCACACAGATAGTTTCTATAATTCCTCAAGAAATTCTAATTTTAAAAAATTATTTTGATACATTATTTTAACATATTATTTTCATGTATCATTTTGTAAAAATATGAGATTTTAAATGGCATTCTTAAAAAGGGCCAGGCAGTCTTTCACTTAATATGTACACCAATATTTAAAAAAGATTATTGAAAAGATCATTCCTGTTTTAAAGATAACATTTTTAGTTATAAATGCAATATAAAACAATGTAAAATGCATTTTGAAAATCAGCGTAATGCACCTAAATATAGCATCAATAAGTTAATAAGTCATTAGGTTAAATCTGAGAAGGAAATAAAGCATCTAAATCCCTAAGTAAACTGTGAATATTTAATTTTATCAAAGTTAATATGAAACGAATAAACGGAATAATTCTGTAGTTGTTATTGTCACAAATGCGACTTGCCAAAAACCAGCAAGCTTTGCTTCGGTAGAGCCAACCTAATTTAAAGCAGAGAGGTGAGTCTTTTTTTTGTGGCGCCATCTATGGCCAAGAATACCACACACACTTTGCCACACACATTCATCACAGCCTATTTTACAGGGTTAACACCTTCACACACCTTTCATTATTACAGATCGCAATTTTGATAATCCAATTTTTTTAATCCACTACCCACTGAGCTATTGACTTGTTATGGAACTTCATTACGCCAAAAGATTTAACGTGTACCAGTCACCATTTTATTTTCGACCGGTGGGATTTGAACTGACGGTCTCTCGGACAAGGCACTGACGCCATATCAGCCGATCTATTCTGACCCAAGACTATAGTGAAACATACATTTAAACTTAAAATAAAAACTTCTGATTTCTTCATAAAAGATATAGAAAAATGTGAACATGATTCGAGTACCAAAGAGGCGACACTCATATCAGTACAACATATGAATGACAAAAATTTTTTACATTTTAGATACAAGAAGAATTTCGGAAAATTTGCTGGTTGATATCCGAGTCCCACTGTCTACAACGTTTTCTCCTGCTTTCTATTATGCATTAATTTCTTCATTTTATTTTCGATTGGCAACTGTGAGCTTTTTATTTTTATGTTCATACTCTATTCTTAAGTTTTCATGATTCACAAGTAGTTCTGACTAGGAACATCTTGTTTGGGCACTTATTTTAACTTTAAACTGTTCTTAAAAGCTAACAATTAGTAATTAACATGTTTTACTTTTAACGTTATCTCCACAAGTAGCCTCACATTCTTCTAATGTATCAAAATTGTTCGCGTTTCCACCACAGCCTCCATATGCAAACTCTTCACAACGTCCGCTAGTTTGGTTGAAGGCAAAGTTGTAAAACAACGCATGACATAAACCACTGTCCACAGGTAAATTACATTTATCTGGCTTATCAGTCTGCTGCGAAATAACATCTGTAAGAAAATTTACAATAATTTATAAAATATGAGGATTCAACCTTGTCGACATAAATTATAGACTTTTACGCGCATTTCTCGAAGTCATAAAAGCAATGACATATCTCCTTTCTACCCAGCAAACAAACATTTAGGGCATAATGAAACATATTGTGAAAATTCATACATTGTAAAAATTGTGAATCGAATTACGGAATTAACTACCGGCACTTTGGGTGCTTCATCCATGAAATTGCTTTTACTGTAAAATCAATTTTTACCGTTATATATTATACCGTAATTTTTACAATAATATTTATTCAATTCGAATGATTCATTTAATTTACTGCAATTATTTTTTGTAAAAATAATTACAGTAAATACAGTATATCAAATCTTTTGTTCTGTAACATGTACTGATGAAAATAGATCTTATGATAAAAAGTACCAGCACCCTGAGTGCCGGTACTGATTTGGAAATTCGGATTTGTATTGCTAAAAACCTACCTGACGGCCCGACATCGTCCATTGAAACTGCTACGGCTAAAAAGAGTGCCATTGGCCAACAGATTGAGCCGGCATCATCACCGATAGCATATTAACATTGGCTATATGGCACATTGTTTGTTGACAAACCCATATCATTATTTACATGATGCAATTATACCTGCTCTTTTCAGTTAAACCAACACATCTAAATTTTTTTTATAGTGACCCGATGCAAAAAAAGATGTCAGTTTATATTGGGTAATCAACTGTCCAAAATCTTGATTCTTTAGTTTATTTTGATGCGAATACTGCTTATTTCTAACCAAGTATAAAAGTGTTACATGGTTACAGGCATTTTTAAATGCTGATATATTCTATAGAGTACGGTATTTAATACATTTCTTATAACATAATTGGTCGCTTTAATGCCAGTCTTACAATATTTCTTTTAATTAACTTATGTGTTTTTCAGGAATTAAAACCGTTTCGTCTACTTTGCCATTTCATAGATTGCCTAGATATTTTATATACAATGCCTATGTGAGGTATACATTAATTCTCATATCTTATACTTAACTAAAAATGCCTAGTACTTTATGAAATACTCTGAGTATTCCATAGAAAGCTTATGTTTCAGGCATTGCCGGAAACATATACATCACAATTATTATAGAGAATAGTTTGTTCATGTAAATAAATTTTATTATATTATCATAAATGACATAGTTTATATGTCTGTCTAGTTTATATGACATAGTTTATGTGTCATAGACCAGAGTATATATGTCATAAACTATGACGCATATGTCATTGTTTATATGAATAAATATTAATGTACTAAGCATTATATAATAAAATATGGAATATAAAAATATTAAGAAGAAAAATAAGTACGTACTATTGTCATTTGCACAATTTTCTGGTAAAACACAGTTTCCATCCTCTTCTAAAACATAACCGCTTTCACATACACAACCGGTTTTGCAGACTTGAATACAAAATTCTGGTGGAGTTCGAAAATTTTCACACGTCACCGGGCAGAATGTCCCACATGAATTGAATTGAGAATGTGGAGGACAAGCTTTAAAAGTGCATAATAGAAATCATTTTTTGAATATATTCATACATTAAACAAGCCAATTTTCTTATTTTTTTATTTATCTAAAAGCAACTTAGATCAAATCCGGTGAGCAAAATAAAGAAAAGATATAATCTCTTCATCAGCTCTCACGATTATATCCGCAAAAAAGAGTGCTTTTTAATATTATATCAATATAGCCAAAGCAAATCATATCAATACATTACAATAGTGTGAGGAGCACTCAAAATTTAAACGAAAATAGAACACATTAATTACTTAATGTTACTTTATTTATGTGTTGTATTTTTATAAATTTGTTGAGAGCTCCTCACACTATTGTATTGATATATTTGGCTTTGGCTATACTAATAAAATATTAGAAAGCACTCCGTTTTGCGGATATAATTGTGTGAGCTGATGCAGAGATTATATCTCTGCTTTATTTTGTTCTCAGGATATATTA